CAGCTGCAGCCCAGRGAGATGACACAAAATAAAAGGGCGGGGAGGAAGCAACCAAAGGCACGTTACAAATGAAGGAAGTGATCCGAATTAAGGGCCGAGCTCTGGTATCACCTCAGGATACCTTCAGAGCGAGCGACTTGGCCCCATTTACAACATGGAAAATTCCAAAGACAGAACCATTTCCTATAAGAATTAGAGCTCGCTTTGAAAAYACAGTTTCTGTTCTGTCTCTACCAGACTTGATAAGGCTGGGTCATGAACGAGAGCATTGCAGAAAGCCCACGCTGATGTGAGCGGATCGCTGGGTCAGGATCCTGACTGCTCTCCTGCTCCCCTGCAGCTTTGTGATTCCTGCCGTGGTGCCTTCACCGCGTCGTGATGCACGGGCCACGCAGCTCCCATAGGAGCAGCTCCGCAGGGAGTCAGTTCAGGTGCCTGGGAAGGGAGCCAGAGCCGAGCACCTGATCCCAGAGGTCGGTGCATCCCCTGCACTGCCGCAGCCTCCCCCTCTCAGAGCSAGGGCACCCGAGGCCCGGCAGGGCTGGCATTCCAACTGCTGGGACACGCCAGACTTCCTGCTAGAAACAACGTCATGTCTTAGCGTGTCAGACTCGCGCCTGACCCAGATTCTTGCCCCTCTGCTGTAAYGTACACACAGGGTTAGGTCACAGCCCTGGGGCTCGAGCACGAYAAGAGCGCCCTGTCGGACAGGCAGGCAGGGCTGCGCGTCTTACCCGCGCCAACCCGCTCAACTGCTTTGCCCTTCGCATCGTCACCGCAGAACAGAACAGACGTGGGACCTGCCACAACGGCCACGCAGGGACAGGCACGGCACAAAGAGATGAAGACAAAAGAGCTGACAGCCCTTTCCGCACCACGACAACTTTGTTCCACCTGCCCCAAAACGCCTTGGTTGGGGAACCAGACAACATAGCAGGATTTCCCTTTTTCCACAGACGACAGAGCTGTGGAAGGTACAGATTCCCATAGCAACAGAGGTGATAAAAAAAAATTGTCCCGAGGTGTGATTTGCTGTCACGACACCCACCTTGCCGCAGATAAGGGTGAGCGCTAGCTCTGGAATGAACCATTTGCACGGGACCTTTCTCAGAAAGTGCCTGATGACAACTCAGCCACCTGCCTCCACTGGCAACGCCAAACAGGTCCAACTGGTTAGAGAGCAAGGCTGTTTCTGTAGCAAAGGAGGCCTTCCTTRCTGTCATCCTCCTGTATGGAACACTGCTTTCCTTGCACCTCTCAAAACCCTYCTAACCCTGAACAAGCCACATTGCTGTCCCCTAATGCACTTAGTCAGGCAATAACACCGGGCGGGCAGCCTGCAGGGAGCCGAGCTCAAGTTCTCAAATATCAGCTTCTGTTTTGTTTTTGATACATGGAGATCTACCTTAAACTGTGTTGAAAGCTCCCTGCAGAGCACACGTTTATGCTCTGGCAGTGCGTGCTACGTGCTATGCGAGTGCACTGCCTTCTGACACTTCCATTTATCATACTTCTCCCCTCCCACCCCTGGCCTCTTGGTTCCCTAGGGGATGGTAGTGAATTTATGCAGGAACAAAGTCACCTTGAGCTTTAATCTACACCCGAGCAGACGGAATAGTCTGTGCGTCTGTCTGTCAGTAGTCACATCCACCCACTCTGCCATTGCATTACAATGCTCACTTTGTTAGCACAGAAAATACTGTCTCCTTTTCCAGGTATTGAGACAAGGCACCACAAAGGCAGGAGCAAAGATGATGGCTGGGGACAGAACCGGGAAGAATGTGGCCCAGCACATTTGAGAATGAATGAGCAACTCGACAGTCAAGGCACGGGGAAAAGAGCAAGCCTGGCAAAACAGGACCTTGTCTTATGATTAAATTCATAAGCCAGCTGCCTGCTCCCTGCCTACCCAAGAGGACACTGCTCCCTGCCTGCTGCCAGGCCTCGCAATAAACAGGCCTGGGTGAACCTGCCTCTGCCTGGAAGAAACAAGACACTGCGTCTCCCATAAGGATGCAGCACTTACAGCGGAGCATGACGATGACGACGTTAAGGGAGAGTGGAGCGAGCGCTGACGAAGCTGCCTCTCTGACACTCCCATGCTCCTGGCTGAACAGCCTCGTCTCCTTGGGCRGTAGCTGCAGGTAAGCGCTGGGCTTTCCTTCCCTTGCAATCAAGAGCAGACTTCAATGAGATCAGAAAGAGTTCTTGGAAACTGGTCCTGCCTGAAAAACCGGAAAAAGAGTGGGATTTACATCTCTGGATAGAGGCGCTCTCTGAACTGGTATTGGAATTTAAGAGTCTAAAGAAATCAACCCATCCTGAATCCCCCAAACTTTACTAATCAGTAACAAAAGGAAAGAAGCTGTAAGTAGTGTATCTAAGTACTTTTATTCTCATCTGCTGTCATCACGCTTGTACACCTTGGATCACATTCCACAGTCCACAAGGACAACAGGCATTGGCATATGGACTTCCTACTCCCCCCCAAAAGCTGAGCATCACACAGACTCACCGAGGCACCTGCCGTTGCATTACATGCAGTTTGGTGCATTTCGAGCTATTCAGAACCAAAAGAGCTTGTCCCTAAACAGTTTAACTGAGCTACTGGAAAGCTCTCCCTAGGAGTAGAGGTTTTTTTCCTCAGGACAAATCTTTTTCTTTGCCTTACAGATATCTTAACCCTGAAAAAGTTCACAGAGTCCAATAGCTGCAGTATGCTCCAGGAGTACTTCCCGATTTCCCAGTTTCTTTGCTTTCACAGACACCTGCACGCCACTGCATAGGTAGCCAGGGCAGACACCAACCTCCTGCAAGGCAGGATCAGGACCTACACACATACATATCAAAATAAGCACCTGCACAGGAGAACCAAAGAAAGCACTCACAGAAGCCCCCCAAATTCTTCTGCTTTGTGTTCAACTGCCGCAATACTCACTTAGGAGAGGCTTAGAAGAAGCACACGGGAGCCAGTCCCACAAAGTAGTATAAGGATGTYGTACTCACAGCTTTAGGAGAATTGCAGGCTGTTTATAAAAAGAATTAGACAAGGTTTGACAAAATACAGATCTGGGTGGACACATTCTGCCTCAGAAGACTCTTGTGGTACACAGCCCGCAATGTGACTGCGGGCACTTTAATCATGCTTACCTAGAAGAAAAAGGAGGAGAAATTGCAAGTTAGTGYAGCAATGCACTTGGGCTAATGCTGGATGGAGGGCAGAATTACACAAGAGTGACCTAACAGGCAGGTTTGAGGCATCCCCAAAGAGCTGGTGCTTTTTCTGCTAAGTTCTAGAGGACTGTCTAGCTCCGTTGTGAAGACCACCTCTGAAAACATGTTGCTGCYTCACCTCCCGACTCTGCAAGGCTGCCCGCACTTGTGCCTCAGGTCCTGCTCTTTGTCTTTGGAGGAGGCCGGTGGCTTCAGTTCCAGACCCCAGCAAGGAACACAGCCCAGCAGTGCTGCTTGAAAGGCCCTGCCTTCATATGGAAGAGGATTATGGAGCTACAGCATCTCTTTTCACTCATAACTCACTTGGCCAGACAGGGAGCCACATCCTGGGTTACAGTTGAACATCCAGAAATCATCTCCAAATCATTCTCCAGAGGTAATTGCTATATTTTACTTGCCCAAACTTTGGCTTCTGGAAGCCGGTGGCAGCAGTGGTGATGGAGTAGTGCTCATACCAACATTTTCAAACGGATTTTAAAATAAGTCTAAGTTTTCTTAAGAGTTCCCAGAGGTTGGCAACCACTTTCCTCTTCACTCCCCCACCATGAGTAGCATTAAAGAGGGGGARGAAAAATGTGAAAGGGAGCAAGAAATATGAATCACTACCTTCCTTAATAAATAGGCATCAGAACACCACTGAATGACTTGGGGTTGTGGAAGCAGAACCCTGGTGCAGAAAGGCAGGATCGTGCCGCGCTCGGAGYTCACTGGGAGCTGTAAAACACAGGCACAATTGCAACGGTCCCCGCAGCACCCATGTGGGCGCAAGCGATTTGTGCTCAGGAACAAGCCCAGAGGAGGAGCTGCTGCAGGGCCACGTTCAGCTCCGAGCGAGGAACACCTGACCTCTACACACAGGTAAATAGATCAATAAAATCAAGTGCGTGTTCAGGCTTCTTCCTTTAAGCACATGAATGGCGTCACTGCGGGCCCCTCTGCCAGGGGTTTCGCAAAGCTGCTCTGSAGATGGATCAGGAAGAGGCAATGCGCTGGGAGCGGGGCGCTCCGCGGCCGGGATGGGGTTTGGTGCRGGCAGGAGGCCTATGACCCAGGCGGCAGCCACCGCAGCCTCGCGCAGCTCCACGCAGCCCGTGCTGAGGGAGAACGGGGGCAGCTCGGCAGAACCGCGCTGAGCGGAGGCGCTCGGGCCCACAAAAGACTCATCCCGGATCAAGTCAAAGTAAGTTTATTCACGTGAGACCGATTTAGACAGTATCAAATTTAAAACCTTTCCCCAAACAAGCACCTTGAGGAGACGGACAGGCCCCGAGAGGCCAAGGAGGAAAGCCCTGCGGCCGGAGGGAGGCCGGCGGCGCCGCAGGCAGGACGGGGCTCTTCGCAGGACACCATTTGTCACCGGGCCTCCTCTCCCCTCCCCTTCCCCGGCCACCTTCCATCAGAAGCTCATCCAGCACCCGCAGCCAAGGAGCTCATCCGCGCCGGAACCCGAAACCGCAGCGTCTCCGGCCCCAGGGCTGGGGCAAACGGTGCCACCATCAATCCTGGGASTAAGTTTGAAGGAGTTTTCATTCTATTTGTACAGGGACTTACTAATGAGTAGCCTGGGACAAGAACACTACRCCCAGGGCATAATTCTGAGCGCATGATGATAGATTCCCAGTCTTTTGCCAACTATACTGGCAAAAATAGGAACACAAATGAGAAGAGACAAGAACAGGATTCAGGTCCCTAGTCGAGATTAATGGCATCGTTTTCCCAAGCACCGAGACCTTTTGCAGGTTAATAAAGAACACAAGAAGCACTTCTACCAAGACACACAGACTCTCTAGAAAGTATAAAAAYGGGATAACCGAGTTCCCCGGTAAGCAAAGCTGTACGAAGAGCTCTTGGTGCAGAAGCAGCAGTCACAAAGCAACCATTTTAACACAGAAAAATCTGTAAGGCACTAATAATGATCCACTTAGTACAATCATCRCATGACTAAAGATTGACATTCATAAATTAAAAAAAGCTGTACATTTCTAAAAGGCAACTTTCCCTGTTAAAAAAAATCAAATTTTCAGTTCCAAAAGTTTCCCTTTCCCCCATTCCCCTCCAGGTTATCACTGATTAACTAGACTGAATATTTGATCAGAAATCCTGTCTTTTTATCAAAAACCTGTTAGAGTGAAACGCTCCACAACTAAGTGGAGAACAATTTGCTGAGAGGTTACGCAGTGATCTCAGTAACGTGATCAACACGTGCAAGAGGTGTCAGCCAGGCATCCTTACTACAGGACTGCACAACGCTGTGCTGCTACCACGCGACATGCAGTCACGTTTCTGTAGCTGACTTSCCTCTATTTTTGTTTTCAAGGTGCAACTTGGTTTGAAAAATGARGAGCTCGGGATTCTCCTGTGCAGCTGCTGGCATGAGAAGCATGGGGGAGACAGCAGCACTTGCTTATTTACGCTACCCCAAGGGTAGGATTCAGTCCCCATCTGAATCCTGGAAGCCCCCATCTAAGAGCTGCCAGGTCCCTTAAGTCCCTTTAATTCAGTTTTTGATTCTCCTTTGCTGGAGATGGACGGCTTCCTGATGGGAATGGAATCAGTGAACCCAGCTCCCTTCAGAGGGTCACCCAACAGCCCATGTTTGGTCAGTATTGATCAGATTTCCAATAAGAAACCACTAGTAAAAATATTTGTGTCCCATTCCCRGTCCCCAAAGCCGTTCAAGGATCCTTTAAAGACAAAGGTCCTATTAAAGCATATTTTCAGGGATCACAGTAAAGTGTTATCCAAATATTGCACGCTATTTGTCTACTTAAATATTCTGCAACTGAAATCTCACTTCCCAGAGATTAGTAATATTATTATTAAAAAAAATGCTAAAAACAAGTATGGAGTTAACCTCTCCATAAGAACCKGCTGGAATACAAGACAGTTACAAGCTAAAAAGAGCAGAGGTCCATCTGTGCAGAGATTCAGCAAGAGCATTTTTGAAATACCTGGACAGCACAGATTCCAAATAATCATTTTTGACCTTTCTAGACCATCCAAGAAATGCGCTGTGTGATTTTACCAGCGCAAAGCACCAAATCTCCTTGCAAGGCAGCCTCTCCGCTGTCAGTTTCAAATGCCTGACCTTCAGCCAGAAGAACTAGAAATAAATAAAGATGAGCACAGTAGTGAGACCCCCGCCAGCAGAAGATCTCGGGGTGGTTGCTGACATGGAAGGACGTGGCCGGCCTTCACCAGGCCTGGGCACTGGCTAGCTCAGGGCAGCAGCTCGATGCTGTGGATGACCTCAGGCCTTTCAGTATTGGGTTTTTCAAAGCTGAGCTCATGAAAGCAGGCGAGTCAAGTCTCATGGAGCCGTTGCGAGTTAGTCCAGACCTGGAGRAGGTGGCAAACAAGTCTCCCAGAGTTTGGCTTAGTCTCTGAGCTGTCAGGTCCGTAGGACAGCCTGCCCGGTGGAAAGAGGAGTCACCCAGGCAGCATCCGCGCGCGCCGCTCACGCAGCAGCAGTCTCACCTCCCTCACTAKTAACGGTGAAATGAACAGGATTGTCGAGCTGGTCTGTGAAGAGAAGCACAACCAGGACAGTAAGTGCAGAGCAAACAGCGCCACAACCCTCCTGTGCTCCAGTGTGTCCGAGGCCTCTGCGGAAGACCCAGGTAGAAGAAGAGATGACAAGAGCCCTGCAGGTGGTGGCACTGAGTGGGAAGGAAGGCACCTAGCACTGACTTCCACGATCTCCTTTTCATAAAGGAGTTGTGCTCTTCCCCTCCTCGGTGGTCTTCCTCCTGGCAGGCCCTGCAGGTAACCAGGGTGGCTTTTGCACCTGTGAGCACAGGAGGCCTGAACCGTCTCTTCTCCCACATATAAGGCCAACACATTAATTTTAGATTCAAAATCCTCATCATTCCTTTCATTAATCTCAAAGGGCTGATAAGCAAGCAGCTTAACTTCAGCTCCTTGAAAATACTAGGAACTATGTACCATGGTGAAGAAAGGGGGGAAAAAAAWTCCTGCCTTGGAAGTCAAATGCAATAAGCTTTAGGAACTGCACACAAGTATTTACAGACAAGTATTTTCAAATCTCTCTGCCACAAGCCCAACTGCTTTTGGGCAGCGTGACCTTAAAGGAGTCAAAATGAACCTAGTTCATTTAGGCATTCCAAGGCAAAGGCAGAGCAGAGATCTCCTTGGGAATGGCAACGCTTGCAGCTGCTGCAGTAACACTTTGCTTACCAAGGTCACAATTTTAAGGTTCCCACAAAAACATGCTACTGCAGACTGAACTTTGCAAAAGAAAGAAAAAGGAGATTTCTTACCATTAGGATAAAGAAATAGAAAACCCACATCCATCCAAGGTTCTCCTGGATCAGAGACACTAAGTACTAAAAAGAGAAAGAAGAAAAAAAAAAGAAAAATTTAGGAAGATAAGCATGACTTTCAGACATCACTTATTTCCTAGAATTTAAGGGCTGTTATCACTCCATAAAAAGATGATCACAAAACCCTCCGGCTGATCTTTCCCTGACACAATAGATGACTCAGGACAGGAGCCTTTTTGTATAAAACCTACAGTCTCAGCAAAGCAGAGATACCACTCTGAAGCTTTACAGTAACTCAGCAGCATAAAGCCAGAACTGAGCTACAGTTTCAAAGGTGACGAACTGACTCTATTGAATACAAGTTTTTTGTGCAGAACACTGGGACATAAGTGGATCTAAGTACTCTGAAGAGCTAAAACCCCTAGAACAGCTTGTAAATCCCATAGGATGCACTTTCAAGAGCTGTGCAACCACTAGCTACTTAACTCTTCATCATAGGCAAGATACTTGAGACTACAGCCTGTTTTGAACCACATCCCAATTCAAAAGGACTACACAGGCTACAAAAGAAAATGTATCCTTATTAGCAGATTTATATTCAGCTGCTGTACAGGGGCCTCTCCCTCGCTACTGCCTGTATCAGAAATTCAGATGCTGTTTTGTGCTAACACATTCATTGTGCATTTGCTGTTATTCATACGCCCCCACAATGACATCATGGTTGTCTCTCTTGAAATAAAGGCAGTGTTAGACTAGGAAGGTCGGTGGAATTTTTCAAAATTAAAAGATCCAGTCTTGACGATGACGTAAGTTGGAGTGGCATGTGTGGAGGCAGACAAACAATAAGAAAGCTGAGGGTAACAGTGCACTTTCAGATGTCTAAGGCAGTTGCAATTTTCCATGTTTAATGAAACTAAGTGGCAACTTTGCCATGAAAGAAAGATGAAATATCTGTATTTAATCAGGCAATAAATGACAAATAAAAATACCAAATCCCTTTTAAGGGCAGAAACTTGTACTCCTTGCCTAAGTCCTTGRTATTTCACCAGCACTAGAGAGGGCCTGGGAGAGAACAGGCTCCAGTCTTTCTACTGAATCCTCCTCTCCCCAAAGCATCACTGTGCTCTTCCACATAGTCATCCCACGTTTTTGAGAAACAAGCACGTCCAACAGGCATCCTTCCTACCAGCTTCCTTCCTACAAGTGCCTAGTCCTCACACCCCGGTGCATWCTGTGAGGGCTATCAACACACAGGGTGCTAGATTCACAAGGTGTAGGAGGCAGCCCTAGATTAAAAAAGGAACTGCAAATAAAAGCAAGTTTTTAAGTTACCTAGAAAACACCATAAAGTTTGTGGTATGTATGCCATTTTGGGTTGGRTACAGAGCTAAACTTCCCTTTAAGCAAAGGTTTCTGCTCTTACCTTGCCTTTGGAAATAGAAAATTCAAAAGAATTTATTTTCTGCTTACCTGGCCCACTGCAGCACCGATACTCCCAGTTCCATCCACAATCCCAGTGACTGTTGCCAGAGCCTCGCTGCTGCCTTTGACCAGATCCTGACGACCCAGGTCAGCAGAAATCGCAGAGCTGATCATATTAGAAGGGCCTCCAATGAAAAACCCTGAAACGGCCAAGAGAGCAGACTTGATGCCAAACAAGCAGAGGGCTTCTCAGCACAGCATCTTAAACACACAGCTATTTCTATCACACAAGTCTCAGCATCAGGGTTTTACATGTAGTGATCTTGGATTAATTGCAGCTAGAACTTAACGCTCTCAGCTGAAGCACACAGTGCTTCAGATAACTTCTACCCAAAATTATCACTCCAGTAGCACAGGCAGCAGCTGCAAACATGTGTCCATGCTTTAGACAGACTGCTAGATATTTTAGCAGCTGCTAGATATTTTGTCCGTCTGTCTAGCAGACRGACTGCTAGATATTTTAGCATAAATCTCTATCATAACAAAATAAGGCAGAACTTTATAGTTCTCAGACCTTATTCTATATAGTCTATATTCTACACTTCCACGTGCAAATTCGTTTTCCTAAAGCCACACTCCAAAAGTACCATAAATTGGCACCCAGCTTTTACTCCTGCAAAACCAGCAGGGACAGTGGCACATGCAAAGGCATTTCCACCCCTTAATGCGGGTGCTGCTGCTTTTCCTGCAATCAGTGTACATTTCCACAGGGGTGAGGGTGGAATTTTATACGATACCTGTAATTGCCATGATCACAGCATTGATAGGTTTGTTGTTTGGAGAACCTGTGGGAAAAAGATCAGATGAATGTTATTAAATTTCTTGAGAAAAMCATTTATTTTGGATGAAAAAGCAGCATGCAAACAGCTGGTTTCTGCCAGGACATCTGCCCAGCTCCATTCTGTACTATGTACTAATAACAGTAGCTTCCACTTGATGGAGAACTTGTGCAACAAGTTCAGTCTTCTTGCAAAGGCATTTAAAGATTGACGAGCTACCAAATCCCTGACAGAATTTATAGCACAAAAATACTTTTTCCCAGCATGCATGCCCTGCCTCTATGCTAGATTTGCCTGGCTCTGCTTTCCAACTTTGTTATGGCTTTTTTCTTGAGAAAGAAAAATCTCCAGGTAAATGCAAACTGGAGAGAGACTGTGCATTTATTCTCCTTGAAAAAAATCCATCTGCATAGTAAGAGAATCCTTTTCCTGTCTTTCTGAGGAAGTGAGAGATCCAAGCTCCAACTCTCTCACAATCAAGTCTTTCTTTCAGCACTTGAATTATCTTTCCCAGTTTTTCACCTTCCTTTTTAAAAACACGGATGTTACAATTTGTAGGTAGTAATTCAATAACTATCTAAATAGTGGCGGGCAAGAGAGTAAAAACCCAGTCTCCTTACTCCTCCTTACAAAATTACACTTTGATATCCAAATGTTCTGTCTGTATTTCCAGGAAAAACATCCGCTATACATATGCAGCTGCTTCTCCCCTATAAATTCCTCATTTAGCATTCCACATTACTGTTTTTCCCACTATCCCACTTGAAGCCATCACCTGAATTCCTCACACCCAATCACAACTTAGGGTCCACGCATGGTGAAGTTGCCAGCATAGTGCAAACCGTAGCCCCCTCATGTATTCTTGGCCCGCTTTCACACTGATGTGTGCAACAGGCTCAGAGTATAAAAATGGAGGGAGATTTAATGATCCAGTGCAGTAGCTCTGTATCACCCAAGTATATTCTATATGTGACTGGGCAGTAAAGCATTTTGAATTAAGCACAAGACACCTGCAACTTTGGGCATTCTGCTGTCAGCAATGATTTTGTATTTGCTTCCAAGTTACTGAGGAGAACAAGAAGTTAACAAAAGGACTTAAAAACTCTACCAAGCACCACCAACCCGACCCTTAATATTTAAGGATAATTCCCTACTGACCTTACTTTGAGGCCAGCTGAGACAGCATGCTTCAGAAAGGCATGTTCTACCACACAATTGTGGCTCTGGCATTGATTGCTATTCAGAGACCTCAAAGTGCTCGACAGAAGGTGGTCACTGTTGTCACTCAATTTTATTACAGACTGGGGAAGATGCAGAGGAGTGAAGTGACAGGCAAAGGAGTTAAGGCAGGTTAAAGTGGTTCTGGTACCTTTGCAGAGCAGGGTGCTACTGCACATGCAAACCCTTTGTGCTTACRATAGCTTCACAGCCACTACTTCACAGGAACTAGATCCACCTGCTCTTTTATCCAGTTCTCTTGACAAGCTGCTTACAAAGACATCAGTCACCACAAGCTCTATCTACTACAAGAGAGGGGGAAATCTGTATGTTCTGCCACATACAGAAGCATAAGTGGCAAAGTCTATGAGCTTCTGCTTCTTTGTAGTAGATAAGACCCTGCAGAGCTCTTTTCCTAAACTCCCTTCTCTGCTAGGGTTGGRAGGGATTTGCTGCTTTTCCAGTCGCAGTTTTGATGCAATGACAATGCTAGAAATTTCACTGACCCTGGAGAGGGTCCAGTGCCATCACTCACCAACTTCATGGCTACCCAATTAGTCAACTAATTCTCATTAGCCAGAGAACAGATTTCCTCCCCAATTCCTTGATTTCAAGCTCAGTCAAGTTCTATGCAGAGTCACAGTCCAAACAAAATACACCAAAAGGTGACAGAGTGATCCAGAAGTAGTTTTAAGACCAGAAAACCAAATGTAAGCCAAACAGGCTGCATTCTGCATTTTCCTAAGGTATCAGAAGAGCTTCCCACCACTGTGCAGTAACACACACTCACGGCTGTATCCAAAGAGAGAGCCTACAGCAAAGAGCAGGCTCATCGCAAGCACTGGAGCTCTCTTCTGTAGCACATCAGAAATCAAACCTTGGATGGTCCCACCTGCAAAAAAAAAAAAAATCATCATCAGGCCCAGAATGGTGACACCTTGAACAAAATTAGGTCACTTCACCGAGTACAATGGCCTCTTGCTTTCTCATTAATGCACATTTCCTCTACACTCCGGAAAACACATTCCCTCTACACTTGTGAAAAGTAAGGCTCCTGCACCTACTGATAAAGAAACAAAGGCAAGAGCAAACCTAGGTGGTCAAGACAGAGCACAACTCATACTGTTTTCCTAAGCAATATAATTTCTTTTATTGCCATGCAACTGATCAACAATCCTGCTTTTCATTCCCCTATAGGATCACCAGAGGTACTAAAACTCTCGTTTGAGCAAGTTTAACATTGTGACTGTTTGCTTTAGTAGAAAGTGCCCCAGAAARGGAAGGTCTGCTTCCAAGGGAAAGCACATAGAGGTCTCATTCCYGGCTCATGCTCAAGGTGGATGTAAGGCTTGCAAGAAACGGTACCCCAACAGGCATTTTTAATTTGCTAGCTAGGACTTTTTTGAAGAATGCCATATACAAAGGGCAGTGATCAGCATGTGCATCCCTGGCACCTCTGCAGAAACCACTGTGCTGGTGAGGACTACAATACAGGTGAAAGCCTAATGCAGATAAGGCCAGAGAGGCAGAAAAATTGACCCTGCYGACTACAAAAGGACAGATATCGATTCTATGAAAACTAGCTGGGAGTAAAGCAAGAAACCAGCACTGAGGAGTGGAAGTCCAGACAGACAGTTTGTTCCTCACCACATGCTGGAGCAACAGGGGCAGATTCTGCAGTCAGTAGCAACACTGCCTTTAGGTTGAGGTTCACAACAGGGCTTGTGCCTGCTCTGGCAAGCAGGATGGATAGTTCAGAACCCACTAAACCCAAGTCTGACTTGGAAGTCTATCCCTCAAGGATACCTGTCAGAAAGGAAGTAGGAAGCACTGGGGCACGATTTTATACATGAYGCTCTTCAACAAAGTCCTAGCTAGCAAAGAAAAAAATGCCTGTTGGGGTACCACTCAAGAGTAAGATATGACTAAGTCATACATAAACTCTTCAGGGTACTYACATGCTTGGCATTTTAGAAAACATTCAAGCAGCAACAGATATAACTTGCCCTTTTATATATTCAGCGAGCAGTTAGCTAGATGCCACTAAGCATGACTGCTCTGTGCTCCATTTTTAGCCTTTCTTTCCAGGAACTGAATAGGGCAACTGCAGAAAGGTGTCATTCACTTGCTCACTCACCTATGATTCCTCCCACATCATACCAGATTGAGAGCTGGTCAGCTTCAGCTTCTTTCCATCCAAAGTTGTTGCTGAGGTAAAAGGGCAGCCAGAAGAAGAATGAGTAATTCACCAGCTTCAAGCAGGCATAGGCCAAAGAATACTGGAACAGAGAGTCAGACAGCAAGCAGTTAGCACTTGAGAAACACAAGCTGCATTCCTGGTGCTTCCCATACAGCTCTGGACCCAGGTCAATCTTTAGAGGGAAGTGCTTTTGCATTTCATACACTCTAGCAACAGTATGAAAGCTTAATGCTGATCAAAGGGAACCTAAGAGCAAGAACACCATGCCAGGGAAGTTATTTTCTTTTCATTGAATGCACAGGGTTAAAATGCTGTCAGTGTAACCTTGTCAAGAACTAACATCTGGCTTCCTCTCCCCCTTACCTTCCAAAAAATGAATGCCCCTAATAAACAGAATAGTCAACTGCGTGACATGAAACAAGCTTGAGGTTTAGTCGTCTGTGCATCACGCTGAGAAAAATTGTGTGAAGCAGTTTCTCTGGGCTGCCTTGGGCTGTTCAGAAGGCTCATCTGGTTACAGCACCTAAAGAGAAGTCTTTGGCCCTAACCCGAGGCAGCCGTTTGGGGACACARGAGGAAAGGTTTGCCCCCCAGCAGGCACTCAGCCCCACGGCAGCCGCTGGCAGCCCCCTGCTCGCACCTTCCCCGCGCGGCGACGTCGCGGCCTGGGCAGTGCAGGGCCGGCAGCAGCCGGGCGGCCACGTCATTCCAGCAGGGCCCTCGCGGAACATCCACCCACCTCRGAAGTGAAGGAGCCCGTGTGTGAAGAGGCAAGTGAAACGGGGGAAAACCAACAACACTGCTGGCACCACTGTTCTGGGGGCTGTGCGCATGCGCTTGTCTTTGGATTGGAAAAGCAGATATTTTGTATATTCAAAGCTCCAAAAGCATCTCTTACAAATGTAGATTCTTCTAAGAAATACACCAGTTCGAGCTGTACTGTTAATGCCTTTCCATTCTTAAAGGTCACAACATACTCTTCACTACACAGGCAAGACAGTGCTATTCACTAGATTTCTGCTGGCTCCGGCACATAGAGCTGCTCTGTGCCAAGCTATACTTGTTACAACACACTCAGAATCTGTCAGCCAGCTGTCAGACCAATTAAACCCGGAATTTCCAGAGTCCCATGGGGCATTCATCTCTACTAGAACTCTTCACCATACCATTCASGAAGAAAAGAGGGGAGAAACCACAAACAAATTTAAGTCAACTAATATCTTTGTATCATTTTGACCAGGCTTTGGAGGTGCTCTCAGCATGTGGTTTCTCACTCACTGATTTGCCATCAGATAATCTCACACATCCACGTCAGAGGTATTCACACAGCTCGGGTAGTACACAGAGCACACCCTCAAAATCTCTAGTACCCAAACAGCAACATCAGTTGGTTGGCACCTCGTTATGTTCTGGCAGTGAAGAAAAGTCGCATGCTAACTTAAGCGGCCTCCACCACTGCCAACACAGGCCATCTAAAGGGTCTCGGTGCCTCATCCCATTCTCAGTGCCACCAAAAATGAGCCATCAAAGTGCTAAATTTGGAAAGAYGAAGAGGATTCACTTTCTTTTGCCACCCCTGAACCCCGGTCTTCAGCAGCACCACAGAGCAGTGGTTACCCAGCTCCTGGCACACTATCTACCCACACACCTTCTAGATCTTGTGGTACTTCAGTCACACCCAACTGCTTTCCTCATTAGGGGTATCTGAGAGCACTGTCCATTCAATGGATAGCTTCACAGGGAAGCTCATACTATATTACTGAGCCAGCTCCTATTCTTGCCCCAGCATCAGTATTCAGAAAAGACATTGCCTGCTGGCACAAGAAAAAAAATCACCTTTTTTTTTATTGGCAGATTAATTTTTCAGCTGAACCAAGTATTTGAACTGGACAATGCAGAGGCAGAAGTACAAGCTCTGATTGAAAGGACAGGATGGGGATGTAACCAGGATTCAGCTCACCTTAAGCTAATGGTGAAGCTGTATCACCAGGCCCCGCTGCCAGTTGTTTATAGAAACACTTTGCCAGATACTACATCATGTTGATTAAAGCTTTCTCGGGCTTTCTGCCCAAAGGCAATTAAAAAACAACATCAGCTATTACCACCTCCACATACTAGTGCTGCAGAGCTCCCTATGATGCTCAGCCAACAGTAAGAATCCCATTCCTCAAGGCAACGAGTTCTACATCACCAAGAGTATCTCCAACCACCTGCTTTGCCCACAGTCTTTCTGAATTCTAAAAATGTAGCCTCTCTACTGCCACGGCTGCTCGTGCACCAAATGAAGCAAGAGCCTAACAGACAGAGCAACACACAGATGCATTTTAGGACAGTATTATCATGCACATACACAAGCATACCAGTCCCAACCCTCGAGGTTTTAGCAACATAGAAGTCAGATGTCAATAGCAACACATGGTCAACATGTCAATGATGACAAACATTGTCAACTCAAAGTCAGATCAGTGTTTAACAACATAAAATCAGGTGTCATTCAAGAATCTGTGCCTTAAAAGTCCTCACCAGAACAACACCTGGAAGGCAACAAGCCTGGAGGAAGCCAATGGCCTTTGGCTGGCTCTCCGTGTCAGCTGCTTGAATAGAGTAATTCCGGTCATCGTCATCTGCATCGTCACCATCCATTAAAGGTTGGTTRGCATCTTCCTCAGCACTGCCTTCTTCATCGGTTCCAAGCTCAGGAAGGCCTAAATGATGCAAAGGATGTACAATAGCAACAACAGGCCACAACCTGTCAACCCTCTCCCCATTTTAAAGCTACTCTCTCTTCTTTTAAGCAATTCTCCCTTCCAGCAATTCCCTGGCTCTCCCAGACCTCCATCCTCCTTTGGCTTAGAAACTCTTCTAGATGGTGTTTCTGAAGTGTCACCARTTTCTACCTTTTGTCTTCTAGGGCTCTTGACCGTATTCTGTCTGATGCTGCCATCGACCTTGCCTGTTCTGAGTGTCTAGCCATTAGTTGGAAGACACAACAGATTAGTGCATTCTCCCCCTGGCAGAATGGCTGCACTCYGTGGGCCTGGCTCCCGGGCATGCCCCCACCTGGGCGAGGAGGCCACGTGCGCCAGCACCTACTCTGGCAGCTGCTGCTGCTACTGCCTCCTCTGCAGCAGCAGGAGGCCAGTGGGAGCACTGCTCCCGGATCTCCAAGACACTAAACGCCACCCACGTGCTCCGCCACTTCAGCGTTACCAACCATGTGCACAGAAGTGGTAATTTGTGCAGGCACCTGGGAAGCCTCTGCAGCCCTGTCAAAGCCCCACAGTTCTGCAGTTTTCTTATCATACTATGTCTTGCCCACAGCCTTTCAAACAGGACGTTTGCCCCACACGAGCACTGTTTTATTGACTCAAAGAGCCATATATGCACAAATTACTTTCCCCTTGATGTGCAAAGTTAAGGCTTGCCATGACTTGCTCCTATAGTGGTCATTTGCTASTTTCCTATTGACTATTAAAAAAAGAGTATTTTTCCAGAAAAGAAAATGAGAAACTAGGCATAATCTAATGAAGACCTTGGAGCCAGGCTGCTTTGCTTTTAAATATCCAAGACAGTGCTTAGTGTGATCTTGAGGAAAGCATTTGCTCCCCTCAGCGCACAGAAGGGCAACACCATCTCAGAAGAGTTCTYGAGGATAAGCACTGTCACAGCTGGCAGCACTTGCAGTACTAGAGGGAAAGGTGCCCACCTGTTTCCCATAATGAGACTCAGGTGGTACAACTCTCTTACTCACCCACTTCCTTTGGTGAGGTTAAAAGCCCAAAGAAGACGACRACTCCTCCAGCAAATTGTACCGAGGCAGTCACCAGGAAAGCATACTGAAGATAAAGAAAAGATGATTATTTGCTAAATGCTTTCAGTCACACCAGCATCCCTGACCAGCAAGGGGTTCCCTGTACTCCAGCTCCATCAAAGTAAACGTAGCAATAACAATCCCAACTACACCCATTTAACTTGCAAACAAGGAACAAGTTCACCCTGTGAACAGACTTGCTTCTATCTAGGCTCAAAGACTACACTGAAAAAAAGGCTTTAGGGTATGGAGGTGACAGCAGTGAATAAGGAGCTCATCCAACACAGAACTACRGATTCCTCCAGGTTAGAAGGAGCTACTCAAAGCAGAGTCAACACTGATTTCAGAACAAGTTGTTCACCATTTTCTCCAGTCAGGTCTTGAAACCTCCTTCAAAACAGGTATTCTGCAGACTCCTGGCCCTTGTTCCRATCCTTAACTAAYTCCAGAGTGAAAAAAACCTTCCCATATATTCTCATAAGTTGGACCTTTCCCTGGTTCATTTTATACCCATTGCCTCTTCTTCTACCACGTAACGCGGGGAAGAGCGTGGCTCTGATTTCTCAGTACCCTCCATACAGGCCCGATTCGGTCACTCTTTAAGGCTTCTCTTGTCCGGTCTGAATCAGCTCAGCTCTGTTCAYCACTCCTCACAGGTCACATGCATCAACATGCTCCAGTCCATTCACATTCCCTCTGCTAACTGCCTGTCTGAAACATTGCAGTAACCCAGAGCTGGGCCACAGCTCTTCCCGCTTGCCTCCCTGCCTGTCAATCTCACTGCTGTTCAGCAGCAGTGACTTCAGTTAAGTGAGAAGCAGTGATAGATGTGAATCTGAAGAACACAGGCCACCCAAAGCAGAAGGTCCTACCTTCTGAATTTAAAGGGTTATRAATGAAAACCCTTCTATTCTGACTATTGCTTCTTATCACAGAATTAAAGATAATGAAACTGGAATGAAATTGAAGAAAACTATTCCTACTAGCTGTTCAGTGACAGAGTAAGCTGATCTCTGCATAACCCAGTCAGACATGCAGTCCTAGCTAGAAGCCAGGCAGTGCTACCCACCTCATAGCCATATTTGAGAACACAGGAGGCAAGGAATGCTCCCAGGATATTCCCCACAGATGCACAGGCACTCCAGAGTCCAAACACAAAACCTCTCCTGCAGAAGGGGGAGGAAATTTGGAAAAAGGGATGAAAAAAAGGTTACATTAGGAGCAAGAAAGAGACAGGACATTAAAAAACTTAAATTTATGGATAAAATTATAGCTCATCTGTAACACTGATCCTGTGACAGGCTCAACTTTTCAACAAATTAGATTACCACCAAAGAAGCTAGATGGAAATGGACAGAAAWGGGTTTTACAGTAACATGAAAATTTACATTCATCCAAACCTCACTGTAAGACTTTAAGTATGACTCTGCCTCTAACTCACACTACTGTGTTCATACCAAACTATTATATAATTCTGGTGGGGAAATAGAAAGTAATAATAAAGTTATGTTCCATCTCACATAACTTCAATCCTGACCTAACAGGAAAACAGTTTTCAGCATTAAAATGACAATGTGGTCAATAAGTCTATATTTTGTATATTACTAACTAGTTTAGCACTTGGAAGTCAATATAAATTGCTGYGGTTCTCTCTAGTTAAGCACAGCAGTACTTACATACTGGGACTGGCAAAACAGGAAGTTTTGCCCTTTGGTTTGGGAGCTTCAGCTAAGTCTGCCGTGGTCAGCAGGCCAGATAAGTGAATCATCAAAACTCCGACTTACCCAGCCTTGCCAAACCAATTGCCCATGACTGCAACCACGCAGGGCCAGCCCGTGGATTGCAGCAAGCCATTGACAACCCAGAGACAGCAGTAGAACCACTTGTTGTAGAAATGCAGCCATTCTGTGAGCGTGCCAAAGAAAAATACCTACAGAGAAGAAAAGAAAACAAACAAAAACACCTGAGGCTACCTCTAAGAATCAGGGGCTAGAGGGATGTCTTAAAAAAATAACAAAATTAAAAGTTAAAAAAAAAGCAACAGTAACATTTCACTGAGAAGACCCACTCCAGGCCACAGGCAGACGTAGCAGCTCAGAGGCAATAGCACCCTCTGCTGAGCCTAAGCGAAAAAACAGTGCCTAGAGAGAAAAAACACAGCTCATAGCATTCCCACTCTAAGAGACTCACTTCGGTAAATAACACAGGGKAGAGCGGGGAAAAAAGAAACAAAGATTTTTAGCAAAAACACTAAAGATACAGTAGCATCCTGATGTGCTACTGCACTAACTTATAAACTCACAGAGCCCTCTAAAAACACAAAACCCTAAGCAGTTACTTCCCTTGACAAAAATCTAACAAAAATACTACAGCTAGGTCTCGAATTACTAACAACTCTAATGGGAACTAGTCAAAATAAACACACTCCGTGGCACCCTGTGCTTGAGGCACCTCTGTGGTCATGTGTTTGCAGAAGGTCCTAGCCCCGTTTGCAGTCACTCTGCAAGAACATCTCTGCGTTTTGCTGCTGCTTTAATCAGAAAACCACAAGGAGATAAAATTGTTTCACACTTATCTGTAGTGGCTTGAAACTGAAGAGCTCTTGTTTTAAGACAAGGTGCTTTTGTGACATACCTGCCCTCCCCGCAGGGAGGGCATAAGCGGATGCATGCTAGCAAGAGCGCATGTTGTATTTGGAAGGGGAACACTCTGCTGATGACAAACGTGAACCAGCAGAAGAGTCATAATACTAAACCACCTCAAAAAGTACAAATTCTCTATCCTTGTACAAGTTATTCATCAAGCATCTAGAGAGCGCCTCATATTTATTAGGTTCCTTCCAAAGTATCTAGGAACAGGTATATTAGGAAGAACTGAGTCATCTTGTTTAGACCTACATCTGACTGAATAAAACTTACAATAAACTGTTCCCAGTTTTACCAGTTTTCACTTAGCAGATTTTGCTTAATGTGGCACTCCCACTACTTGAGACAACTGAGGTATAGCTACAGATCCTACCTAAAAAAGCATCTTATTCTTAAGGAAAACCATGATCCTAAGACAGAGTTTTCTAAACCACACTAGTGCGTTCCAACTTACCACCAAGGCAGAGGAGCACATGCCAAAAGACAGAACCCAGCGTAAATTCAGGCGATCCCCAACTATGCCGCTGACGAAGAGACCCTGAAAACAAAACTTCACATCAAACAAAGCCCAAAGGTTTACGTGAGGGATCTGCAAGAATTAAAATGATGCAGAAGGGTCAAGCTGACCCAGTTGACAGTTACGTCTGCTTGTGGCTTCAGTCTCAGCARCCATTCTGCCATTAAAGAAACCATTACTTTTCTAGATTAAATTCATTTTTTTTTATTTATTTTTTTAAAAACAGAAAACACTTGAACAGATAAAACTACCCATGACCAGTTGACGAGTGTGAAAAAATTTGGAGTGACAGTGTTTCTCCTTTAGTGGTAAACAAACATTTTGACATGGGGGACAGGCCCTGACAGAACTAACAGAACAAAAGGAAAAAAGCCGCTGCTCTACTAAGCTTTTAAAGTCTATYAATGCTAGATAAGCCCAGTAGCAGATACCACTCATTCCCTCCAAACACAAGTGTGATCTTCCCAATGAGTCTCAACTAAAGTTGGCAGTTTTGGATTAGAGTTACTCACCACAGCATAGGAAAACAAGAAGATAGTGTCCAACGTTCCCAAGAAGAGAGTGGCTTCTTCTGCATTTGGAAATAAACGGTTGCAGTTCCAGAGCTACAGGGAGAAAWTTGTATCAGGTACACAAGGAGAGTCAGAGCTCACTCTGCTCTTCAAGTCAAACCCTAACTCCAGTGCAAAAGAGCATCTGGCCCCAGCAACCACCCRTTCCTCCGACATCAGGACGTCAGATCAAGAATGATCTGATTTCATGTCATAGAAAAAAGAAGAAAAAAGCCAGGTCTATCTTGCTTCAGTTTTAAAGGACAAGCCAGCAAACCAGAAGTGAGAAACACCAATTTCATGTAGATCAAGAAAAATGACTGGCARTATAAATCCTAGTTCTAACAAGCACGCAGCTGTCCATTGCATATGCAGCAATGCTGATGAGCACCTCAATGAGTACTACAATAAAGGCATATTCTGCTTTACACGTGATGTCTCCTGTACTCTTACCTTGCTGTCTTCACTAAATTATTAATTMCCTTACAGAATTTGTGGCAAAAACCATAACAAGAAGTGACAGATCACAAACAGGCAGAGCACAAACAAAAGGAACAAGGTGAAGGAACAGACTGGTTGAAAACTGCTATATACAAGGAGCTCAGGTCACTAGTTTTCTTTCTACTTTTTCCCTTGCCCTGAAGCTTTGTTTAATTTCAATATGATTAAACAGATGATTCGGTCATCCCCACACTGAGATTAGTGACATCAGCTGCAAACAGTGTATTTTGAAGAGGACTTTAAAAATAAATAGAGGTAATGAGGAGAGAACCTTCTCTCCTCCCCACCATCCCACCCACTAGACAAAAATCTCAACCAAACAAAAAACGCAGCCCAAACCTGACCCACAGATGCATCCAGGCAAATATCAACTCCAGAACACCCTGTACAGACACCACTACAGGAAAGCTATCGCCTCAGCTTCCTCCCAAGTCTCATGTGCCAAAGAGAACTAATAAAGCTCCTGCAAAATAGTTTTTGTCCCCTGAGACCACTAATAGCTACTCTCAATAGTTTCTTTCAACTTTAACCACAAATCACTGGAGGTCTACAAGCTATCAGGAGAAAGGTAAGTGAATCAAATACAAATTAAATACATTGATATTAGGCTTAAACTCTTCACAAAATTTCCAAGAGACTCTCAATTATTAAAAGGCTGAGCAGTAAAGATGTAGGTTAATCAAATTACACTACCGTCCTCTGATGCAACAATTGCAAAACATCTTCTTTAGAAGATTTTAAACCACAGCTGTGATTAAAAAMCAGRAATCAAAGCTCAAAGCCAACAGCATGTTARGAGACTCTTCTGTTAGTTTGTTCCACCAATTTCTCAAAACTCACCATCCACACTACTGCTAACTAAGGTGACTTAAATTCATACCGTAAGGAAAGAATGGCCACTTTCTTCTTGCACAGACATGAACTTCAACATCCAGCAAACACTAAGCCACAGACTGCAACTGCCTTCCAAAGTATACTAGTTTTTTGAAACATACTGGTGAATGATCCATGTACTTTGCATCCCTGGGATGCTTGGTATATGTTCCTAGATTATAAACACTTGAAGTCATCGCAGGTGCTTTAAAATAAGTTAAAGCTTCACTGTTCTTACTTATTACACAAAGGCAACATTTATCCTTTAGTCAAATGTCTAAAGAATGAGAGACCTCTGACGCAGACAAGGTGCAAGCAGCTGGCCTGGAACTCCCCATTTCCCTGCAGCTCATGGAGACCTAGCTGTTAACGTAACATTTCTTCCACTTCTCAAAAGCGAAGAATCAGGACCAGCCAACCACTGCTGAAAGCAAACCTATCTCTAAAAGGACTATGAGAGTGAGTCAATACATCCATTCTGGCATTTCCATTTGCTGGGGGAAACAGGACGTAACTTTTTTCTCTGCAAGCAAACGCTGCTGAGACTCCCATTGCTTTTGCTGATGTCGAGATTTAAAGACAACAGCCATGGGATGCTGAGCATTTTTGGAAAGCAGACCAGGAGGCAGGAGCAAGCATTCTTTGGTATCAGTTTCGGTTTAGCAGCAGGCATTCTCAGGATAGTTTTCTGCTCTCCTCCTTTGGCCAGGCTTTGAACACGATGGCAATGCCCACAGCAAAGAGACAACCACAGCAGGGACGTTACAAGGTCTCCACAACCAAGTTAGCCAGTTGGGTTTGTTGCCTCTGCCGTTTCAAAGATGGGATCCCTCACTCTTCCTCTCCTTCTCCACTCCACTGGCTACTACACAAGACTTTGCAGGGGTCCTGCTTCCCACTGGGACATCAGAGCTTCTTAGAGAGTTTCTCTCTGGGGACTCTAGGAAAGATTTCACCAACAACTCATAATCCAGACAGCTACTGCTAAGACACAAGAAGTTCTCACCTACATTGACATAAGTGTCTCTAGCAAAAACAAATAAAGAGACCTCTTTAGCACCACAACCTCAGTGCAAAAAAAAGCTGTGCAGTTTTTAGTACACTTGCTGGTCCCAGGTGTCCTTACCTCGTATGGCCGGAGCTCAAGGGCTGTGTTGTTGAAGTAGGAGGGAGTCCACTGGCTGGATATGCTGACCTTGACATTGCTAAATGTCTTCCTGGAAGCATGGAGCAAGGAGTAACTGCCAGAAAAAGCACAAGCACAACAAGCACACAGTGGTCACGTCTCCTCTGAAGCTCCAACAGGAAAGGGCAAGACTCAAAATTCATATACACGCTAAGCAGCCAATGAGCAGTGGAACACTGACAGTTTTGAGGAGAGTTGTAGAAGAGGGAATCCCAAAATTATGAGCAGACACATTGCTTTGTACACATGGAGGCATGAAATAAGGTCTTCATTGGAGCGGACCTCCTCTTTTCTTTTCAAAGCAGGAGAAGACTGTGCAGCAACAACTGGCTCAGGGAAGGAGAAAGAAAGAAGTATAGGAAAGAAAAAAAGAACATGTAGCTCATCTGGGTAGCCACCATTACCTAGCCTGCCTCTGGAAGAGAGCCTGCCTCAGTAGCAGCATTGCTGCAAAGATCTAATGATAACTTTCAGGCACAGTTTGTAGGGAGAGGCAGTACCTTTCTCCAGCTGCTCTCAGCTGGTGCAAAATGAGCTTGCAGCACCCAAATGTGGGACACCTGCTTCAGGACTGCAGCAGAGGCCTGCTCTAGGGGTCACCCAGCCCTCTGCCAACAGTCATGTCAGGAGATGAGAAGAGCCCAAGCGCAACGGCAGAGCACTCCGCGAGCCAGACCGTGCACTACATGAGTTGTGAGCTCACGGTTTCTGTCCTTCCTTTTCTGTGTGCTCCTCCAGGCCACCACCCACATTAACTCTTCCACAGGGCAGTGCTGCCTGCTTGCTGCAGTCACTGCGCTCTGCTGCRAGCCTGGCTTGTCACCGGCTTCCCCAAGGGCACAGCACGCTTAGCTCCATTTCCACAYGATTCCCAGACCAGCTAGTACTAACTCGCTTTGTTTCCAAGGCACAAAGTGTTTGTCTACCTTCACCCTCCACACATGGACATGCTCTCTAGCTCCCAAATCCAGTGACAAGCACCTTCCTGAGCAGGTAGGTACATTCAACCTACCTGAAGAAGGTCAGCAGGAACACGGCAATGTGGTGGTGAGTGCAGTGTGACACGAGGGCTCTGTTTGCAGACTGTCTCCGCCAGCTCCAAGGCAAAGCCATGTTCCTCACAGCCTGCTCCCCCTCCTCTGCCCTAGGCCACAAAGGTTGGAAGGCGCTTAGGTCATTTTTCTTCTCACTTAAATGAAAGAAGGTGGGAAGAAGAGAAAGAAGAAAAAATATTTTCAGTTAAACAATTACAAAATACGGTGATGTTCTGCAAACAGCCGGAATTCAGCAGGAGCAATTCCATGGCTGTCCTTCTCAGTTTGGCTCATCTCATCAGCCATGTATTCCCTAACACCTTCTGTCCTTCTGTGCCCAGAAATGTCTTTTTACTTCCACTTTTTACTCTAAGTACTGCCTCATGCTTTTACTCTGAGCAAATTCTTACTCGTGCCTCCAGCAGATTTCTCTTCAGGGCCCATCACTAAATAAGCTCTGTTTTGCACTGCTACATGGCTGGCCAGGCAAGTCTCAACTGTGGTTGGGGGATCATATGTGCAAAGAGTGCTGAGGAAAGGACCTTGCTGGTCAGTGAAGTGGGGGAACCCCTCTCTACCTTTTTTTTTTTTTTTCCTCCTCCCAAATATCTTTTCAGTCAGATCCTCGACTGCTGCTGAAAAGCCCATGCCTCACAACGACTTCTTGAGACCTCCTACTCCTCCTAACAACATTCAGAGTTTTCTGCAGGGCTGTTTCCACTGCAGGAACTGTTCTCTCGAGCACGAAGCATGCCTGAGCACCAAACAGATTCCGGTTACTACCGGATACATTGAACACCACGGACACTCACGCCACACAGGACCTGCAGAACAGTAGCCAGGACGATGCTGTGAGTAACAAGTACCCAGTTATTCCACGTCTGGGACRCTGCCATGCAGATCTACCGACTCCTGCCTCGGAATCGGTTAGTCACGTTCATCCTACGCCTCCGTTCCCATCCGGCCAGGACAAACAGAGCAAGTTTGTTCCCGATCCACGAGACAGGCTGCATCCATGGTGCCTGGGTGCGTCTGGGCCACGCTGTCGGCAGGCGAGGGCCACCCCGGGCACCCTCCAGCAGCAGGGTGGCTAGGACTGCCACCTAAGCTCCCTGACAGCTTCTCCCATCGACGGGGCTCGCAGAGCAGAGCCGAGCGGGGCCCGTTATGCAACGCTGAGGGAAAAGCTCTTTCCTCAGGTAACGGGTTTACAGCCCAGAGCACGAGATTTACTATCCGTCTCATGTCAGCACATGCAAATACAAGTCTTGTTTGCCCAAGATACTCCACCTTTTAACAGCTAAGTCCTGGTTTTGACCTTAAAATCACCCATGTGTTTTCAGCAGTTTTACAATCATAATACCTGCCTTTCACAGCCTTGGCTAGCTTTCTAAAAGAAGCCCTGCTACTGTGATGATATTTTTCACTTATTTACAGAGCAAAAATCACTATAGAACGTTTTGTGTTTGTTCTCTCTTTTTTCTTTCCTCATACAGTCTTTTTCAAATCTAGTTGTCTATTTTTCCCAGGCTAGAAAAGGAGTGCAGCCCCCCAAACCGATCTTCTAGCTACACTGAAATCACCAGGTTAAATGTGGAGTAGGAAGAGCAAACAAACTTGCAAACAGAATGAACCACAGAGGCCAAGGGAGCAAAACATAACGTTAAGAAAGGAAGAGGGCTGCTTTTAGGGTGTTTGACTACTTTGCCCACCTGCTTGCAACTATTTGCCTTCAGCTAAGCAATATCTTGAAGAAGCTCTGTCCTGCTTTCAGCCCTCGCCCTTATCCCCTCTCTTAAGGTCGAACTGAGGCGCCTTAAGTTCAAAGCAAACTTCCTTAATACCGCCTCGCCATCCTCCAGAATTAACATTCCTGGAGCTTCCAAAGAGCAAAATAAACAAGCAAAAAAMCACACATTTAAAATAAATAAATAAAAATAACACCAAGGGGAAAATATCAGGACGGCTGTGCGTGSGCAYGCACAAGCACCGGGGTACCAGCCGCCCTCACCCCCAGCGCGGGCACCTCCGCAGCTCCTCGCCGGAGGCCGCGGGGCAGCAACGCGGATTTCAGCGCGCGGCGGCTCCAAGCGCCGGCCCCGAGCCCGCACCGCCGCGGTTAACGGCGCAGGGCGGAGGCCAGGCGCCCGCGGAGCGCCGTTCCCACCTCCCCCGGCCCGCAGCAAACGCGCAGCCCCCGGCGCCCTCCCCAGCCCGCGCCGGGCCCGGGTGCGGGGCCGCGGGGAGCGCGCGGCCCCATCCCCGGCGGCGGCCGTTACGCGGCCGTTACACACCCGCTCAACGGCCGCCGCGCCGCGCTCGCCGCCGCCCCGCAGGAAGTCACGTGGACACCGCTCTTCCGCCGCAGAGGCGGCTCTGCCTATAGCGCAGCGGGACTTGTAGTCCCGGCTGGGTACCCTGCACGGGAGGCGGGACCGGGAGGCGCCGCCCGCGGCGCGGCGGGACTTGTAGTCCCGGCTGCGTGCCCTGCAGGCGGGGCCGCGCCGGGCCGGGCGGCGCCGCGCGACTACGAGTTCCGTCGGGCACCGCGCGGAGCGGCGCTACCTGTTGCGGCAGGTGCGCGGCGAGGCGGCTGCAGCGGCGGGCAGGGAGCGAGGGAAGCAGGGAGCGAGGGAAGCAAGGAAGCAGGGCAGGAAGCGGCGCCGGCCCCGCGGGCCCCCCTCGCCCGCCAGCCGCGATGCCCTTCTCGCCGTCGGGCGCGGACGAGGCCTTCGACTACCTGTTCAAGATCATCCTGATCGGGGACTCCAACGTGGGCAAGACGTGCGTGGTGCACCGCTTCAAGACGGGCCAGTACAGCGAGAAGCAGCAGAACACCATCGGCGTGGACTTCACCGTGCGCTCGCTCGACATCGACGGCAAGAAAGTGAAGGTGGCGCCGGGAGCGGCCCCGAGCCGCGGGGGCAGCTCGGGGGGCAGCCTGGGGCCCGCTCGCCCCTGCGCGTGGGCAGCCCGCAGGGAGCGGCCGTGCCGCCGGCCCTGCCCGGTGCGCGGAGGCACCCGCCGCTCCCCTGGCTGCGGCCCCGGCCTCGGCAGAGCCCACGGAAGCAAATCCGGAGAAGCCGGGGGCCTGCCGTTCAGCAGCTCCGCTCTGCTGGGCGCTTGGCCGGAGGGCGAGGATGGAGACTCGCCAGGTGGATGTGTGAGGCTGGCTGGAACTGATCCCCGCGTGCGGGTGAAGGACCGGGCGACCTGCCCTGCAGCCGCCCCCCTTGCAGCCGCTTCCTTCGCCCTGCCCAGCCCTCCCCAGGGCTCCTCTGCCCCGTGTCGCTTTCTCCGGGAAGCCTGTGACACCTCAGACCTCTTCCTAAGTGCGATGATTGCGATTGAGCTGCCCGGCCTGCTTGCAGGAGCAGCTCTGCTCCCGTGGCTTCTCCTTTGCCCATGCAGGCTGCACAGCAGCGCATCCGGCTCCGCAGAGCTCTGCGGATCTGGCTGCGGTGGGAGAGCTCCAGCTGTGCTGTAGACAAGGAGCAGAGGCTCCAGAGGCAGGTCCGGGTGGCAAACGGGTAGGAAGTAGCGCTCACAGGTCCCTTCACGGCTTCTCTCCTTTCTGTTGCAGATCCAAGTGTGGGACACCGCCGGCCAAGAGCGCTTCCGCACAATAACCCAGTCTTACTACAGGAGTGCTCACGGGGCCATTCTTGCCTATGACCTTACCAGGAGGTCCACGTTTGAGTCYATTCCTCACTGGATTCATGAAATTGAAAAGTATGGTGCTGCAAACTTGGTCATGATGTTAATTGGTAGGAATCTAACTTTGAATATTCTGATTTATGGGCTTTTCTAGCTATGTAGAGATGTAAAATTTCCCATTTCACTTCTGATCCCATATTCCTGCTGTGCCAGAGAAGTGCAGCAGCCTGATAGCTCAAGGGGAAGAGGAGGCATGCACAGAGCAACACAACTCCTTCTCATCTTCCCTCTCTGTGCTGCTGATACGCATGTGCGTTGCTCTGTAACAGGAGTCTCACCTGATAAGCAGGTAGGAGACGGCCTTTGCAGAGCACCAAAGTGTCTGCTTGCCTTCCCACTGCTCTATCCAACGTGCACCCCTCCAATGTTGCCCTTTGAAGAAAGCAGTGGCAGGAGGTGCTGAGACTGGAGCTGGCAGGGAGCAGAGTGGGTCTTTTCCTTCATGCTTCAGGTGGTTATTGGTCTTCTCTCCACTGGGGAAGAGCTCAGAAATGAAAGACCTGCCCCAGTAAAGTGGCAGAGCCTGTATCTGCTTCCCACTGCTCGTGCTTGTTCCACGGGGCTCTGTGCCAAGAGCAACACGTGCAGCCCCAGACCCAAGGGGCTCCGTAGCGCGGGCAGCATCCGAGCTCCCGCCGTGCTCCTTGCGGATCATCCACCGCTGGAAGCGGCATTTCTGGTGCAAGGCTCTGCCCCTGCAGAAACACAGAGCCAATCCCAACCCGCAGCACCCACTAGGAATAAGTCACTTGACATGGGCAGGGGTTTTCTGTGCATCATAAAGAACAGACCTACTTACAAGGCTGTAGTGGGGGCTTTTTCTGCTTTGGTTGGGGTTTTCTTTAAGGAAGAAATTCTGTAATTGATAAACTAAAGTTTTGGATTTTTTTTTGTCAAGGATCCATATTGATCAGTGCTTTCTCCCAAAGCTGCTGCTGTTTAAGTTTTACTTGCTTCCATTTGGAACTATTTCTACATTTAATTATATGTAGTTGTTTTAGCACATTTTCTACTGTGAAAGGTTAAGAAATAGGACTCYCCCATGTGGGGCTGGAGGAGGAATGCTTTAGTAGTTGTTTGTTTTCGAGAAAGCAAAGAGCCCTCAAGCAGGGCTGGTGCTAGTGCAGGGGGAAGGGCAGGAGAGTGTTTTTCCCTGTGAACCGAAGGGAGTTGTCTGGGGAAGACAACTGCTTCAAATTAAAGACGTGAATTTAATGAGGGGCTGTCCCGAGGCTCCGAATGTAGAGCCTCRCACTGTGCACCAGACCTGATAGTAGTTGTACAAATATATGGTGTGAATATCTGCTTGTTAACAATTGTGCAGGTTCTTCTCCTTTCTACCTTAGCCTAAGAGCATTCCAGAGCCTCTGTACTGAGCCTSCAGTCTGCACGTGGCAGAGTCTGACAACAGCAAAACACACAGCCCTTATTAAAGGCTGAACGAGGCAGAGACTTTCATGCAAGGCGCTCTCTGCTTGCCCCATGCAATCACTACTGTTAATGCAACTTAAATGCTTCCTAATGTTTAATAAGGAGTAGGGACACACGTTTACTTCCAAACAATCCTCTGGCATCTCTTATGCAAATAACTAGGTGTCCACGGTGGGCTGCTTTTGTTTTTAAGATCATTTGATATCATCAGGTTAACTGCAGTTCTGAGGCACGTTGTGTGTTCTTGGATTTGGTGTGTCCACTTCTTGGTTTTCCAATAACACTTATTCCCAACATAAACTGATTTTATGAAATAACATTTTACGTTATATATATAAAAACACAAATTGGAGAGACTGAGCTAATTCCTTACTTCTCTGCCTTCTTTCCAGGGAACAAATCAGATTCCCCGGACAAGCGGCAGGTGCTGTTTGAAGATGCCTGCACCCTGGCAGAGAAGTACGGGCTCTTGGCCGTGTTGGAGACGTCGGCCAAAGAGGCCCAAAACATCGAAGAAGTGTTTCTGCTGATGGCGAGGGAGCTAATGGCCCGCAATACGCTGCAGCTCCACGGAGAGAACCCTCCAAACAGCATCTATCTTGACTCCAGGCCAGTGATTGCCAGTCCAACTCCAGAGAAGACCCAGTGCCTCTGTTGAAGAGAGCTTTCGGGAACAAGAATTGGAAAATTGTCTTTTTTTTTCATTCCTGAGGCGGCGCGCTAGGGTTTTGTTCAAGTTATGGAAGTTTGCTCTGTGCCTCAAGCCGTTTTCTCTATTATCTCTACCTTGCAGTTTGAGCTGTAAGTTTCTCTAGAGGCCCTTGTGGCTGCCGTTCGCGCCGGTTGCTTTGCACGTGGCAGCACATTCGGAGACGTGGGACTTCTGGGCCGAGGGGACTTGGGGAGCTGCCGGCCGTTGCCTTAACCAAAGAGGACTGTCAACATAGTGGCCTTATGGTTGTATCTTTGAGGGGTTTTCTGGCTGTGCCAGAAGGTAAATTTGCACCAGAGCTCCGCATTGATTTGAGCTTTGAGATGCACAGTTCATTTTAGTGCAAGCTCCTTAGTCCTTGCTTGCTCTAAACAGGACTAACTTATTGCTGCCTAACCTCCCATTTTGGGGGAGGTCCTGCTGTCCGACACACAGCCACACAGTGCAAGGAATTGAATTGCAGCACTGGTAAGATGGTATGTGCRTTGGTCACCTGTGTGTGTATTCCCTCATCAGGGAGCCTAGAGCTTCGTCCAGGATGTTAGAGCAGGCAGAATGATAGGGGGCAACCAAAAACCCTCTGGKTGGGGTGAGGAAAGTTGTCTCTCCTTTCATTCCTTAATCATTATAACTGTCTCCAGCACTGATCTTCCCCTTCCTCTGCAGGCATACTGGGAGTAAGGAAGCTTCCAAGTTCACAAATAATGGCCTAAATTAATGGTGAGGTGAAAGGACTGATTTCTTTCTTTCTTTYTTTTTCTCCTCCTAAAACAACCTTGCCTTCTGCTGCTAAGACTTTTGATTAAAATAGTGCCTTAGAAGCTGCTGTAGCTTTTGTGCTGGACCAATGGCAGCTTAAGAGAATGCCTCTAGACTTCTAACAGGATGTAAAGGGGACTCAAATGCCTATAAAATTTAGCTGTGGTTAGGATGGCGTAGTAAGGGAGCCTCATCTTAGAGGAGAAAGGGCACAGTGAGGCAGAGCTTCTTCTAGAGAAGAATACACTTATTTCATTGGGAACTTAACCCAGCTGAACATCTTGATGCGAGTCAGGTTTTGTTTTGCTCCTCAAGTGCAAGCTGTGCTGTAGGTGAACTCGCTACCCGTATGTACAGGAATTGCAGAAGGATTTTCTTTCTTTYTTTTTTTTTYCCAGTACATGGAAACAGGGAAGGAGAAAAATATTACCTAGAGGAAGTTTTTGACCACATTCCCTATGTACCAGAGTGTATCAGTTACGCTGTTGAACTATGGACAAGCAATCATACACTTCCATAATAAAATACAGTTTGGTTACATGCAAAAAAAGCCCTGGAAAGACTAGGAAGCTGCCCCTTACCAGCTGGCAATTTATTTGTTTCACACTCCTCAAAGGTAAAAAATGTAGGTTAAAAATGTAGCAAAAMTGTTTGGAAAATCTTTTCTGTGAAGCACAAAAAAATAAAAATAAATAAAACCCTAAGTGATCATGGATTTATAGTCTTGTATATGTTGTTTCTAATATGTTATTAATACTTTCTCTGACCAGGTTCTTTGCTATTAGATGCCAAGGGCAGATGTTAATTCAGCTACTTATAAACCAAGGGAGAAACCGTCAGTGCTAGTTTCTAAGCCAATTGCTATGCCTACTGGGGAGAAAGCTTTACCTTCTGCAGGTATTTCGAACCTACGTGCTTTTCTAAATCTTAATTTCATCTTGCTTTGTATTAGCCTAATAACTAAAAGCAATTTAAGCAACCATACACATAATTTTTCAAAGTAATTGAACAAGTAACAACCCATCCTCCCTATCTCCTTGTCATAAGGGAAACAATCAAATGTAGATTTAATATTCCTATTAAAAAAAACAAAACCTCTTATAACACTTTCACASTTTTGTTAATCTACACTTACACTGCAGACAAATCTTGTTCTATTTCAGAAATTAGTTGAAGAAAGCCAGTATTTTCAAAACAAGAAGAGAAAGCAATGTGTACATTCCCTGTTACTTTATTAGCCACAGACTAGTCAAAGAATCTCGCCAGAATATTAACCTTTCTATGGTTCAGTTGAYTAGGGGTTGCTGCTCTACATTACTTTTTGCTTACCCTCAGCTTGGAGGAGACTTCTGCAGGTCCATGTGCAGGTAACTGTCCGGCACTGCCAGCTTCCAGGAGCTCCTGCCCTTCTCCTGCAGCACAGGGAGCTGCTCACTGGTGAGCCCTTCCTCCACAGCAAGCTCTGCAAGGCTGGAGCACGGAGAGCAGCTTTGTTCAGCACCAGGCCCTGTAAGAGGCTCTTTACTTGCCTTTTGTTGCCTTTTGTTGTGGCGGTTGTTTTGGAAAGTTAGTTTTAAATACTTGCTTTGCCTCCTGCCTCTCTCCAATGCAGAGCAGCCAGATGCAGGCTAAGCCAAAGCAAGCAAACTGAGAAGAGACCAAGTGCTCTGGAACCTCACAGGGATGTTTCCTTCCCCCAGCATYGCACACAGACCCTGTGCCCTCCTCCTCAGTGGCAGCAAGAGGTTGTAGGAAGGGCCCCTTATCACAGCGCTGTTCACAAATGCTATTTCAACCCCCACCACGTGCTGCAGCTGTAGGAGCTGTGCTGACAGAGCGAAGCCAAGCTGCACAGCGCTAGAACTATTCATTAACTGCACCCACTTACAAGTACTGGAACCTCAGCCGTGCCCTTCCTTGCTGTGCTGCACTGCTTACACTGCCCGCACCCGAGACTGGCGCTTGCAGCAGCGCAGTGCGGAACTGGAGCGATTCCCGAGCGGAACCGGCTCTGCCACCTCCCAGAAATTACGGCTGCTTGGAAAGTCAACATAGGCAGTGCCCTCTCCAACACCGGGTTTTTAAAAGGAGTTTTAGGGCCATCTAAAAACTGACCTTGATGGAGCTACCTGGACAGGCTCTGTTCACACTACCCCATCAAGCCTTGTCAAGCAGCTGTTGATTCTGGCTTGACTGCAAGTGATAAATGCACCTGTGGAAAAGGAACAGCCCCAGCAGCAACTAGAGGACGAAATTTTAACATATCTGCACCTCTTCTGTCTTTGGGTGCAAGAGTGTCCACGAACTGTTATGAACATTATGTTCATAATCACTGCTACCTCCCTTTAATTCTGTTTACCTGAAATGAGGCACATTGCAGCCCTACACAGCTTAAAAGAAAAGGGGGGGAGGCTCTAATGTTAATGCAGATTAAAACTGACTTTGAAACTCCCTTATTGCAACCTCATCCAATATTGTACCTCAAAACTAGAAGGAATCTACGAGTTATTAATCTACTCAATAGATTAATCTGCTGAAGAATTAGTAACTCCCATCTCTGCAAGAGAAACCTTTCATCCTCCAGGTATAGCTTAAAACCACACTTATTTTGAAGCCCTTGTGAAAGGGCAGGGTTACTATATAACTCATTAAATGAGCCAGGCACCAGTAAAAATCACAGCACACGTTGCACYGCAACGAGGAAAGAGCTGCGCTGCCGGCTGCTGGGTCACAGCAGGAGCGGAGCTAAATGCGTAGTGGCTGCAAGAGGCCTCCCTTGTTGACCKGACACAATGCCAACTGTTGCAAACCAGAACCATATATTCTTATACAAGGAATAATGTAGAGGCRCTTCAGGTAACTTGCATGCATTTAAAAAAAAAGATTGTTTGAAATCACATTTTTTTCTTTAAACCATCTTTAACTTGACACTACCATGAATATTCTCACTAGCCTCTATTTTCTGTATCTTCAGTATTTAAAAGGAAGTATAGTGCAATCTATCTGGCACCCTTGGTATTTTCACGCTAAATGTTTTTCTTATTTTAGTTCACCTGAACTTATTCATTTTCTTTCAGAGTGGAAAAAAAAGAACAAGAGAAAAACACAGCAGCCTCCTAACACAGCCAACTCATTTCAAAGTCTCCATTTCTAGTCATTTCTCCGTTAGTGCAACAGGAAGCTTATGAACGAGTTTACAGACAGCTAGGGTCAGAAGGAAAAGCTATAAMCAGGGCAGCACTTTCTGAGAGCAGAGGTAGCTCTGCAATGTGGAGAACAAAAGCCACCTCACACTTCAAAGGGAGAAGACTGGCGGCAGCTACTCACCATGGCACATGCAACTCCATCAGACTGCCTGGAGGTGGACAGAACAACCTGCAGAGCAAAGCAGTTACAGAGGATTCCCCCCTTCCCCTCTTGGGGACACGGAGGCAGCTGAGCAGCGGCAGCCAGGGCTGTCACCAGGCAAGGTGGCAGCTCCCCTGAGCCATTAGAGGAAGCCCAACCCGCGATGCCTTCCTGCCTGCAACCTACTGCCTTTCTCCCTCTGACAAAAGCACGACTCTGATGAACCACACGTGCATACATCTCACCACAGCAGTGCACTGCGACGCTAAGAAGTTACGCTCATTACGTGGGGAAGACTTGTTCTACTTCGTAGCATCCGGTTCTTCTTGTTCCCCAACGATTTTCATGGGACTTGTGCAAATTAAGCGCAAATTCTTCCGTCCTGCTAC